CTTGAGCCTGAAGTCCTTCATCGGGATCTGAGTTTTAAATGCCACTGCCCTAAAAAAAACCCGGACCATAACACCCTAGGCAGTGTAGAAGTAGTGAAGCAGCAAAAAATGATTATTATATTTAATAACTGAAATGCCGTTCCAGCTACAGGACTATTCAAGTCCCACTGAGGAGGTAGCCTATGCCTCCACATAAGGAGGTCGGTAGACAGACCATCACCTCGTGGTCCAAGTACCACCATTAAGACCTGTCTGCTCTTCAGATAACTCCCTCCATGTATGTGAAAAATAGGTTTAACTCCACTTCCCTATTTACATGGAGAGGGGAAGCTATTTTTCTACTAACTGAAGAGAGAATCAAAGAAATTAAGTAGCAAGTGAATTTCCCGGTACCTCCCAGTACCACTCTAGAAATGGTTATAGAATTTTATGCACCTCTCTTCATTACACAATATGTTTACATATACAAAAAGAAGTTTGGGCTCAAAGGTTAAAATTTCCACTTTCACTTACAAAAGTCTAGACAAAAGACGCATACATACACAAAACCCAAACAACACAAAAATAGAAGTATCTAGCCTATGGCCTCTGGATTGTACCCAGCCCAACAGAACAATTCATCCGGCCCAATCCTTGCTCTGCAAGTCATGAGACAGGGCACAGAGTTGGGTACAGAGATTAATTGCTCCAGATGTTTGTTAAGCCAATACTGCTAAAGGATCCCCGCTCTCTCCCCACTCCATCATGTAACTTGAGCTGTGTCCATCACATGGCTAAAAGGCAAGCACTCCCCATCACAGAAAACACATCTTAATCACATGAAAGCACATGTGAACGTTGTCCACATGACAATGTTTCTTGTAAACTTATCAGGTAGACATCAGTTACGTATCACCCCAGCATGGATCCTCCTGAAGTGGACATCTACACAGCACTGAAGAGTTTGACCCTTAAGTTATTCCATTAGATGCTACGGGGATTAAAACAATGTGACATTTAACAGGCTTCAGAAAACAAGAAGAAAGTTCGAGAGTTACCATTTACTTGTGACCGAGTTTGAAGAAAGTATTCCATTCAAAAGGTTTGTTTGAGCCTGACCTGTTTTTTTCAAGTTTCACACCCTTTTTTAACAAACAGCTGAGGTTGAAGCTCATGCTAACAGTGTTTAGAAGCCTATTTTTTGAAGACTATTTTTCAATAGCATTCTTCATCTCCAAAATTGGGTAGGTCTTTAAAAATAAACTTCATAGGAATACCGTGAAAAGGAAATAGTGCAGAAGCACAAAAATAGACTCAGGAGTCCAATAACAAACTATAAATCATTCATTTCCATCACACACTGACTTGCAACAACACTTCTGCTTTTACTAAAGAAAGTAAAGAGTTCAGGACATGTAGGGAGAGGTTCATTCATTCTAACCTGAGAGCATTTTAACTTGCTCCCAAGAGCATGGTATCACAGGAGACCATGGTATAAGTCATCTGTCTTGCCTCAAGATGACTCCAAGTACTTGGAGTCACCTCAAGACTCCAGTACTATCTCACTATGGCTGACAGAAGGGATGTGTGAGGTTGTCCAAGTCCCTTGAGAACTCAAGGCAAATCTCAAACAAGTTTGGGTCCTGCTCATGGGATGTCTACTGCAGAACTGCACTCCTCCTTATGGAAACATGTTAAGCTTCTATCAGAAAGTTACAGGCAACAAGAAGAAAGAGTTGAAATGAGGCAGGAAGGGGGAGCAGGGTAAAAAGAAGTTGAATAACACCATGGCTAAAACCAAATCAAGTGACAGAGGAGCACACGCTGCACCTGCAAGAACTACAATGGCTGTCCACTCACCCCCACCATTCCCAGACCAGGAAATTAGCCTGAAACAAGGATATTTGTTGTTGTTGTTGTTGTTGGAATTAACACAGCTCAGATTACTTGGCTAGCCTCCAAAATTCATTTAATGTTTACTGTAAACAATACTTTGATCAGTCACACCCACCATGTGGCTCCAAAAAAATAAAAATAATTACGCAAGAGAACAATTTAGAAAAGCATATAGTCCACATTTGCCACAGTAAAGAGGAACTGGTTGTGGTGAAGGAATACATAATATGAATTAACACATCCCAAATCATTTGATCATAATGATAGGAGTTGCCTTTGATCCAAGACAACTGGAAAAGTGTTTTTGACTGAAAAGAAAAAAAAAAAACAACCAACAACATTAATTTTAATTAGTGTGAGTAATACATGAACTGATTCTTTATAGAAAACCCACTTTAATTCTGCGGTCAGAAATTGGTGAAACATATACATGTCAAAAAAAAGACTTCCAATCACATGCAATTTACCTTTATTTTACCAAACTTTACTACTAATATGCTTAATTTCTAGTACTATCAGTAAAATCCCCATGTTCTATAGGAAATACAGGTTCATAGCCCAAATTGCTCCCTCCTGGAACCCCTCTGGGACAATCCCACCATGTTACTAGAGAACAAAAATAAAAAATAAAAAATCAAATGCACATAACCACCCAGTGAATAATGCAGAACCAACAACCCATAAAATGAAACCTTTATTTAAAAGTATAATATCACTTTGTTTTCTGTAATGCCTTAATTGCTCTGTATTTTTCTTGGTTTCAGGGGACCTATATAAATGGGACCTCAACTATGAAAAGCCAGTGCAGCCAGCTTCAATGCAGGCAAAAGGACAGAACTAACAGGCATAAGAGAGATCTCCTCCAATTAGTAGGAGATCCAAAGCAGGTTGCAAATGGTGAGATACGCACCAGAAAGAACTATAGGGTTTAGCACCTTCTTTCCCAATTTACACACACTTCCTCCCTGGACAAAGTGAAAATTTTTCCTTTTGGGAGACCAGGAAATTTACCACATTAGGCAAAGTCTGTTTGAAAAAAGTTTCAAGTTTAAAAATAAAATTTTTCCTTGAGCTCACCCTGTACACCTGTCCTGGAAGAGCAAAGATTAAAATCTTAGCATGGGCATAACTGGAGAAAAAGCCATTAAAAAAAAAAAAACAACAACCAGTTCAAGGTACAATCAACATCATCACTCACTCACATACTCCTAACAATAACGTATAACCCTTCAAAAAAGTAGATTGCTCTCTTGAGGGCTTTTCAAGATCCCCAAACCTGTAAGCAGACTACCACATTTATCAGAGGTATTAATTAAGCCACGGAATAGAACTGTTCACATCTCATTTTACCTAGCTTTCAAACTGTACATATTCTATTGTTGCTGCTGTTAAAAAAAAAAAAAAAGAAAAACAAGAAAAAAACCAAACCAAAATACACACGCAGAAAAAAAAAAGAGAGAAAGAGAAATTTCTCCAAAACATGTGTAAATGGCTAAGCATGATACAAGACAGACTTAACAGCAATTCTGTCTATGAATTGAAACAGTTTTGGTAACCCTCCATCTTTGTTACCTGAGAAAACTACTATTTTTACTTTTGTTTTAATCAAATCTTATAAATAAACCTAGGATGAAACTGTTATGTAATTTATTTTCCTACAGACCCAAGTAAAACCTGATTATCACCAAAAGCAGTATTGATTAACACTCCTCAGCAGTGCCAAAGAAACTCTACTAAATTGCATGCTGTACAATCCAGAACCTTAGAATAAACTAATGTATTTTATGTACAAAGTGAACTACATTCTGAACAAACTTTTTCTTGCTCCCATTTCTTACTAGCAGCCAATGGAGTGAGGAGTAACAAACTCTTCAGGAGCACATTTATCCTTTTAAGCAGAAATGGGAGCTAACAGAACAACACAGCCAGGAGACTGAAAACAGTAATGATCTACGGTAGGAGAGGAAAGGAGAGGAAGAAAAATGGAAGTGGGTGGACAGCAGCTGAGCAGCAAAAGCAAATGGAAGGGGTGGGAAGGCAAAAAAGAGCAGATGAGTAGGGAAGGAGACAAATGAGATGTGAAAAGAGACAGAAGACAAAATTACCAAGAGTTAGTCTAAAAGAGCGGTTCCTAAATCATGGCTCAGCCACAGGAAATTACAAAGTCAGCCTGACAGGAAGATTAAATTACAGTGCTGCTGTCAGCATCTTAGCTCTTGAGTGGTGTTGCCAAAAGTCAGCTGTGGCTGGGAGTTACTGGCCTACTGCATGGCCGGTGCAAGTGCTGTCACAACCTTACTAGCCAAGTGTCTCATCAACAAGAGGAGAGATGCAGCAGTGGGTAGGCATATGGGAATGGGAATAGGGAGGAAAGAAGAACCACCAGTGAGCTCAACTGGAAATGAGATCAAGCCTTCGTTAACTGGGCCACACCCGAAGATAGCTACCACACAAGTCACACTTAACCCAAAGCACTATGAAAGATGGAAAGCGTTTCGTGAAACAGAGCCCCAAAACCTGCCCAGGAATCGAGGTGAGCTCCTGTGCAAAGATACGTAAATTACATAAAAATGAAATCTATGGTAGACACAAAGGTTTCATCCAGCATTCTTAAAAAATCCTGAAATTGTACCTGATGAAGAAATAAAACTTTAGATGGGTGATACATGCAATGAAAGGAGAACTGTGGTGTGTAGGGAAATGCTCTGAGGCACAACCAGATATTTTAATTCATTAAAGACATTAGCCACATAAGATAACACGCTGTCCATATAATCCATAATATCTTAGTCTGTATAATCAGTCCAATCAGAATCAACGTGCAAAGGGAAAGAGGATTTCCTAGAGATACCCATCCTAACCGACCTTCGCCAAAACACAGCTAAATATAGAAGAGACTGTAGGTATGGATGGACACAACCTCCTCCTCTGCCCCAAGTTAATCCAATACTGCAAATAAAAATTAAATAATGTTTTACAGGACTTTATCATTGAGTACAGTCTTCCTTATGCTGACTTATGCTGCACTGTTAGATCAGAGGGAACCTGGGAGGAAGTTAAAGGCCTGTTTCTACTGAGAAACACTACAAAAAGATGGAAAACATTTGTATAAACTGAAAACATACCATAAGTGTCTCTTCTGTACTTCTTTCTCTTTGTACTGGAGCAACTGGAAATTCAAGGAGGGATTTTACTGTCTTCCTTTTGGCTTTTTCCATTTGAATATTAGTAAAATAGTTGACAGCAGCAAACTCAATGAGAGCAGAGAACACAAAGGCAAAGCAGACCGCTATGAACCAGTCCATGGCAGTAGCATAGGATACTTTTGGCAGTGAATGTCTTGCACTGATGCTCAGCGTCGTCATTGTCAACACCGTGGTTATTCCTTCAAAGAAATATAGGAAAAGCACTGATGAATCTAAGTAAAACAAATTGAGAATAGGCAAGCAGCTTCCAAAAATTTTAAACCACTTAGGAGTCCTTGTCCTATTCCTCCTTGTGAATAGTGCATTAGATTTTAGGAATGGCAACCACCACCTATCTATGAGCATCTATGAACACAAAACAGTTAACCAGTTTTTAAAGGAGGCATGGAAGCAATGACTTCAGCTGATCATCTACAGTTCACATGAAGAAAATGTGGAAGCCTTCATTTCATATTTTTTTCATGCCAAGCTCAGTAAGATTTCTTACAAGTTATTTTCTAGACATTTGAAGATAATTTCAGTTGTTAAATAGGGGAGAGCTCCTCAGATTGCAACAAAAACATGATTTTTTTCCTGTAATGGGTTCAGAATCCCACCTATTACTTTGCCTGTGTTCCTCTTATCCCACTCGTAATCCAGGTGCCATGAAGTCACAGCAAATTATTTTGGCGGTAAGGAAAACTAGAATATTACGTTAACACCTCTTAATTAGTAAACCATAACCTTATCTTTTAAGCCCTCCTGCTACTACTCAACCAAGGAAATGTAATTAGAATTTCATCTTCTGAAAGAACAACTTTTAAATTAAAGTGTGCAAGCATGAACACTGAGCTCAAATATGACCACTTCATAGTAATACTTCAAATGCAAATACAAGCTGTATAAAACCAAGGTGTGGGCTTATTTTCTTTTTTCATTCAAAATATCCCATATTACACAAATCTAAAATACCGAGTATATAGTGAATATTGCTTAAGTCTTACTATGATAACCTCAAGGAAGACTGAATACAAATGGAGATGTCTTTACTGTCATGTAAAGAACACTGTTTTAATTCAAGACGAGATGCATCTGCTGAGAAGAATTCTAAATAATTAAAGCACTTTTTCCAACAGGATCCTCACATCTCCTGTCCCCTAAACAGTGCTGTCCTATCTGGGTGATCTAATATGAAAAAGCTTCACCTAGACACTGCCATACAGAGAACAGAACACAATGAAACCAGTCTCTCCTATTAAAGGAGAAAAAAAGAAAAAAAAAAAAGAACCAGTTCATAAAAGTACAAAGAATATCTCAGAGCAAACCCAGCAAGATAAAAACACAGATGCAAGCTCATAAAACCTTCTCTAGTGGGAAGGTGTTGAAAAACACACCACTGAAAATGTTTAAATCTGAGAAAAAAAAAAAAAAGAGGAAAGTTATTTTTTTCCTGGAAGAAACCTATCCCTGCTTTGTCCTATGCTTTCTGATTCTACCTTTGTCCACTTCAAGCAAATAGTTTGTCTGAATTGTCTTTTTAAAGACATTTTTTAATAGATGCAAGAACAGGGCGAAGTGACGTGAATGACCAACCATTCCCCAGATACAAGGAGGAGAAGGGAGGCCTTGAAAATATTATAGTTTACTGCCACAGTCTTAATCAGTTTTTGCCCTGTTAAATCATTCTTCTGGGAGGCTTGCAGTTGCCACTGTAACTGCCCTTGGATATGTGCCATAGTGATTTACAGGGTTGTGAACTAAGTTCTGGTAAAAAAATATTATATACACACATGAACTGTAATTACCCAGAGCTAAATACTTGCAAGGTTCTAATTAGAAATGCACATAGCCATATAAAAATATATTAAGAGGATTTTAATATAAAAATTAATTTTAAAAAACTGTTTGAAAATTACTGCTGTCTTTCCTCTAAGAAACACCAGCCTCCCACAATCACCAGATTCAGATGTCTGAATTTGTATTTGTTTGGTGTTTTGGTTTTTTTTTGTTTGGTTTTTTTTTTGTGGTTGGACTCTATGATCTCAGAGGTCCCTTCCAACCACTAAGATTCTGTGATTCTGTGAAGCTCTGACTGCAGAAATCACGACCTGATGTACCTTAGTTCCTCGTGTGTTCCTCCTCTGTTACCTTTGCCAAGTTTTTCCTAATCACGCAGTATCCAATGGAAAGATCTCTTGGTTAGCTTCTTCTGACAGTTCCTCTAAAAAGCTGGTACCATAGCAGGTATTCTGGCTTCATTCCTATCTCTGGGCTGCAACATTTCTATCTCTTTTTTTAAGAAAACCTTTAGAAAACAGGGTATCTTTGGAATTTGTCAGAAAACTGAGATACTTTTAGCCATACTTGAAGCCACTTGCTTTCAAAGGCATTTTAGAGACTTATTTGTAACTTAGTGGATATCCAAACTCTGATTATGATTAGTAGTTTTCAGTTTCATATATGGATATAATGGTACATATTACATGTGTTTCTCTATAATTTGTACGTTTTTAATTTTCACATTTTTTCTGTAAACATCGACTCTACCTTTCCAGTTTGTGGCAATACTCCCTTCAAAAAAGTACCATTATTCAACATCCCTGCAAAGATGTGTGCAGTATATCTATATACTGCACAATATATATATACTGCACATATATATATTAGGCAAATTAGTATACTTCATATATATAAATGTATAAATAATGTATAAAGCTTAATGTAATGCTTGAGTTGAGAGCTAGTGGGGCTCTTATTAGGTGTACAGGTTGTTTTTCCTGTAAGTAATCACTAACTGTGACTAATTTGTGGTACTAAACAGGATACACACTATAGTTATGTGTTTGAATGGGCCGTCACGTAGAAACATTAATTCCTATCGCTCTTGCCAGCCTCTCTCTATCTATAGAAAGGCTTTTTGTAGAACATTCTCTTCCTGATTAGTCCTGTTTTAGATTACAGTGCATTATAAAGTCAAGATGTTGCTCCATAAAGACAGCTTTTAAAAATGTTTTTCTCCTACTTCTTTGTTAGGAATCATATTTCCATTTAATTTCTTATGCTTTGTCTTCCATAGAAGCTTTTTTGGTTTTTATTTTCAGAGTTCACCATAGCATCTCATTCAAGTGGTATTTTGATGAGGGCAATTTTAATATCTTGCAATCATTTTGCTTTTTGAATTCATTTTCATAACGGCAACATCAGAAAGCAGAAAAGAGTACTAAACATGAAATTACAGTAACATGATCTAAGCCTTACTCATACCAAGCTTCCACGGATAACACAGATACCTTGTAAGAAGACATCTGTACATCTCGCATGCTCCCCATCAAATTATTTTAAAAGGATTTTAAAAGATGTGAGTTCAAGTAATTACACTACTGTCCACTGGAGCATAAAACTGCTCTGGGTGTAGGCTGAGGACTTGACTGGATTACTCAGGGCCAGGTATTCCCAATTTGCTTCCCCACACAGGTAGAAAGAATGCCCACAGATGTACATCCATGTGCCACAGGAAATCATGTCACCCTCCTGGTTAAATATTCCAAGTTTCTCTTCAGATTCAAAGGATTCATAGAATACATTCTTCATAGATCAATAGCAAAAAATCCTCCAAACTTACATTATTCCCTTGTTTCTGCACTAGCACAGAGGCAGTACACCCCGTCCTCTAAAAAGTCCTATTTTAGTGAAGGTCATTAAAAGAGAAAGTACAAGAAACAATAAAGAAGAAATAATTACCAAACACAGTTCTAGCTGGAACAGACTCCTTATTTATCCAAAATGAAACTTGAGAAAGGATCACGGTCATAATGCATGGGATATAGGTCTGAATCATAAAATAACCCATTTTTCGTCTGAGGTGGAAGTAAACTGTCATAACAATATATTCACCTAAAAAAAAAAAAAAAAAAAAAAAATTTCTGACTGTGCATAAAATGTGTATCTTGCAGAAAAACTGCTTCAGATTACCAGCTCAGATTGTTTAAGATGATGCTGTCATACCACTTAACATGCGTAGAAAGATATGTTCCTTAGAGACAAGAATAAAACAAAGTTTTAAACAAAAAATTCTAGTAGTAGTACGTCCTTACAGTGCCATTCAGAAGCTGCTATCAAAAATACTATAAATGTACAGCTAATACTGGATCACTTTTTACAGCATAAGTACAATTAAAAAAATTCTTTTGGTATCTGCTGAAGAGGAGACCCCCATAACACAAGCTATCTACCTACCATAGTATCCAGAACATTGTGGTACCTACCTGCCAAATAAAACAATAAGAACAATGATGCACATTAAATTACCTGGAAGCATCTCAGCTTTTTACGAAAGTTATACATCAGCATCGCTATGATAATGAAACAAATGCAAAAATCATTGGCAAGAATTAAAAATACTGTAAATTTATCTAAAATATTATCATGCTTATTAAGCAAACAAAAAATTCACTGTTTTACCATAAACTGTTTAAACAAAGCACTACAGAATGAGCATTTGGGGGATAGTAAGGAAATTCTGCTGTTAACTCATAATAATCAATATGCTGAGAAGTAAATTTCTAGTGTATTGCAAAATGCTGCTTTATCTTTGAGAAAAACATTCACAGAGCAATACATGAAATCTATCTGCTTTATCTGTTTCATTTTGACCATCTCACAACACCCAAACTTGCTGATGCTTAGAAAACGATTCCAAATTTTAAAAATATTTTGGGAATATGCTTGTTTATCACCACACTGCTCATCAGTGATACTTCACTCATTTCGGATGCCTGTAGTTGCCATTTGCCTTATTTCTTACAGAGCAAATCAGCAGAAGTATCTATTGTGACTAATGCATTTGTGCCTATCCTTATCTGACTAGAGGGTTTTTATGGCTTTAATAACCCATTCTGTGTGCTGTACTTCTATCCCGAGCTGTTTGCACCACCAAACAAAGGAAGTCTTTTGCACATAATGTGGATACAGTGCTGAGAAATTACTTCCTCACCCAGGCATCCTCTTGACTCTTCAAACTGCATTTTAAGCAGTGATTAAATGCTCATTTTGTCCCTCGGAGTAATGATCTCATTCTAGCTTTCTGAAAGACCATCGCAATCTACTGTAATGAATCTGCAAATGTAAATCTGAAGGAGAGAAACCTAATTCAGATGTATGCTCTCAGCCCTTGATATATACCCTATGACATTCAGTAGAACACCTTACAGGAAAGAAAGAAAAAAAGCCTTGGGAGATGTTATAGTGTTAATTTTACCTCACGTTCATTTTTACTGATGAGATTCCTACCTGTAATTGATTTAATGGTTTCAGTGGATACCGTATGCCCAAGCAGGTCATACTGAACTAAACTGGAAGACTCCTCAGGAACTTCCACTGACTTCTCAGGTCCTTTTGTCCAGGTATAAATCATTTCACTCTTTGGATAAGCATCTACAACACAGCATCAGTTTGCATAAATAGGAAACTTCTTCTCATGCCCTACTAAAAGCACACTCCAAACCTACTGAAATCAAACAGCAAGACTCACACCAACAGCTTTTTAGGAGACACCCTTCTTGTTAAGTTACCCCCCAAAGCCACCCCCGGAGAACAAATAGCAGCTAAGGTCATATGCCAGGTGTCACACACAAATTCACTTCGCATTTGAACATGAATTCTTTCTGGATCAGCCCTTATTGGGTATGTAAAGTTTATCTTTAAATTATTTTAGCATTTTCTATCTAAAATTTTATCATTAAAATATACTAATATATAAAAAAAGGGCATGTATAAGTAAGATACATTTTGGAGACTGGGCTCACATTTCTTTACAGAAAATAATGATTATACTATAAATTATAATATACTGAAAACGATAATATTTTAAACTTATGTTTAAAATATTTGCCAGAAACAAGAGGTCAGTAAAAGATTTACAAGAGCCCAAAAATAAGCACAACCAAAGAAACACTTTACATTCAATACAAAAGACATGACGCAGGGGATAGCATTCAATCCTTACACAGCCCAAACTCCTGTTAAAATTACATTAAATCAGTCTTGCATTTGAAATGGCTACATCATTCAAGTTTCACTGAGAAAGATATCAGATTTGTGTGAAGTGCAATTTCTGCTGGTTGGTGATTCTGCCTGAAGAAATATGCCTGTGGAGGAGCCCCCACTATTGAAGCTCTCCTATGGTACATCTGACACCAAACCCAGTTCTGGCAGCACCTCGTCTCCAGTCTCACCATAGCAGGGATGAAAACCCTTATCAGAGCAGTGTCTTCACTATCCCCCTTTTGGCTGACTACCCAGCCTTATAAGCTAAATTTATGTTAAGGAAAGACTACGAGTAGCTTCCAGCCATTTCTAATCTCAGCACTCTGGGGTCAAGGAAACCAGATTGATGTCCAGCCACTGACTACATCTGAGAGTAAAGCAGAGAAGGCAGCAACCGAGGGGGTTTAGAAAAGTGACCAGATAGTTAACAGAATGTGTCAACCATCCCCAGGTGGTCTCAGAGGTCTCTGCTGTGGATTCAATCCAGGGATTCGTGACTACCTCCCTTGGTTGTTATGCAGTATGTCCCAAAATGCTCCTTCTAGCCAAAGTTTGGAGATTATCCAAAAATCTGCATCTGATTTCAAAGGAAAGTCGCCAGCACTAAGATTCCTCTCACCAGTCTAAAAATTATTTATCTAGACTAAACTTCCCATGCAGATTCCCATTATAGACCAGGAGATAGGAGACAGACAAATATTATAAAAGATCAAATCTTTGCTCATAATCTGCACATCTAACAGAATATCAATGTGCCCCTACTGACTGCAGAGAAAGCCAGAGAACCTACTTCCCTTGGTGCCTTTTGCCTGGCTGTTGGAAGGTGAGATGGACACCACCCTCTTTGTCTTCTCCAGAGAAACTCTCACTTCTCTGAGTATCCAGTTCCTCCCTAAGAACTAAAAAAGAACCTATGTATTTCAAGCAACTGTGTAGCCAGAATAGTGGGGTTTAACAAAACAGCTGAATCGCTCCCTGCTTTTCAATTTTCAGCCTGGGTTTAATTTTTCAGGCCCTAAATAAAATTCCCAAAGAACTTAACAGGAGTTTTGTCTGTATAAGGATTGTGTATCAAGACTAATACTCAGAAAGTTCAATAATTGTTCAAAATCTACTTCTACTATTTAAATTCTGTAGTTACAAGAAATTTCATAATTGCAACTTACAACTCCCAAATTTGAGAGGACAAGCATGACCATCCATGGGAAAATCCACTAATCTCATGGGACACTCTGCACTTATTGTAAGCCTATAATGGAACAAATTAAATAGTCTCTGGTTGCGATTTTGTCTAGGCAGTATAACTTTTTGCATACAGTAATTGTAAGAAGCTGAACAAACAAGTTAGATACCTCATTGTGTACAGGATGGTGCCATTTCTCATTATTCTGAAGAGTTTATTTGGGGCTGTCATATTATGTGCAACAGACTTTTTCCCATTCCTGAAGAAAGTGTCAGGAGTCCACACCTTTGAAACCATCAAGTTGTTAAGTCTTAAAATTTCAATAGGGCCATCATATTTTAATCTTTTGTCTACCCATGTCTGACGGAAGAAGACATCCATTGTATACTCCTGTATTGAATTGCAGAGAAACAAAGATCACATTTGCATGTATAAGTGTCTCCTGTAAAAACCAGAAATATCTCAGGAGCAAAGAAATCAGTACTAAAGCAAATGCTAAGTCCACTACACAAATATATTTTCACCAATTAAAGTGTGTTGTGTACTCCTTAATGGCTTAATTTCTCACATTAGTCATATCAATAAATCACTACACATATTTAATCGTTAAGGAATAATTAATCTAATTAGGTTGCAAGAAGCAGGCAATTGAATCTGTAGTCAAGCATAAAACTGGAAACAAAATGATCTCTGACAATAAGTGTCAACAGATTTTTAAAGAAAAGATATCCATGGATTTTCTGCTGCTGGCTAAATTAAAAATACCAGGAAAAATTATTACTTCTACATTAAAGTCAGGAAAGAAAATTTAATTTCAACTGATGGAAAGTAAGCTTTTTTTTTTTTAAGTGGGGAAAGCTAAATATTTCCTTTGCCAATCCCACAAAACGGGGATAAATACATATATATACACATAGATATATATATGCATTTTTTTTTAACTATGTAACTATCTCATTAAATTCCTCAGAAAAGCCATTCAGATTCTCCAGAAAAAAACATGCAAATAGCAATGACAGAACTGCAGACACAGGCACATCATGAGAAATCATATGTGAATGAATGGATGAAGGAAGGTATTTCTCGTCTCTGGAAGCTAGAGCATTTCACAGAAAAAGCATCACGTGGCATTGAAAAAGGTAACACAAAGTTTTACATCCTTTAAAATTTACAGCTGTGGTTTTGTTGTTAAGCCAAACAATGTTTTCTGACTTTATCTCAAACTCTTCTGGATAACGTAATCATTGAAACTACTTGTATGGCTGTACCTATTCGCATGGACAAGGAGGTGTATCTAGTAGCGTAGTGTATCTTGGAATTCTATCTGCCTTTTTTTCCATGGCTGCATCCTCCACTGTGGTTTGATCTGAGAAAAGTCTCCATTCTAGTGTCATTTCTTGCTGGTGACTTCATAGCTCATAACTAGCGGTTTCTGTTATTAGCTTCTACGTGACAGATTTTGTAATATGAGATTTCTACCCTTTTCATTGCTCTGGGTACCAAAGTAACCCAGCTCTAAAACGGCATTCTCACCATCCTCTGTGCTGAGACTAGATCACACTTTGCTGTTTCAGCAAGTTTTATGAGTGTAGCCACATTCAGATTACACTGGGTCACTAACACATACATTAACTAAAAATCATTCCAAAACCAATTCCTGGATCCCTGAATAGCCTCCTAATGAATGCCTAATGATGAAAGAGGAAACATCCCTTTAAACTGTCCTTTTGCCAGTTCCTTACCTACCTTCAGTCCCTGTTCTTGCTCCTGCCTTTTCCAATATGAATAATAATTTCCCCGTGTGGCACCATGTCAAATGCTTCAGCGAAACCTGAGTGAGGGTCGTGCAGCCCTCATTTTAGACTTGATGTGGCACCATGTCAAATGCTTCAGTGAAACCTGAATGAGGGTCGTGCAGCCCTCATTTTAGACTTGGGGCACACGTTACTAGATTTCCTTGGGACCGGATTCTTGTACCCCTTGTCACACTGAACAGCATCACACTGTGCGTGACAATCATTGAGGGGGTAAGATGCATTTCAACATGAGACTGCTGTCACGAATCTGGCCCTTGGAAAAATACCTTGCTATCACATACTTTTCCACGTGATAGAACCACATTAGGTTCACCACAAAGTGCATGACAGCACTGTATGGGAAGAAAGTTTGACATGTGCATGACAGCACTGTATGGGAAGAAAGTTACCACCCTGAAACTGCCTTTCCCTTAAAGAAGTTCAGTTCAGCACATACGGCTGTGTTACTTGCACGTAATTTCTTGGATATTTTATAAAAAGAGAAACTATTGTATGATTTTAGGGTATACCACTAGAGTATAGAAGTTGATGAGAGTTATGCTGGATTTGACCTCACGTGAATGCAGATGCCGTTCAGGTACAAATAACAGCACATGCAAATTTAATGTTTCTCTTCTGTGACTATTTCATGCACATCACTTTTACACTCAATTTCTGCAGACACTTAGGAAAACTTTTATCAGTCAAACATTTGCTGAAAGTGATGCTAAAAGAGGCACAGAGATCAGTAAAGGACATTCATCTGAAATGAAAACGTCAACAAGTATTTGTGAAATGATGTCATTATTATTCACTTGAGAATAACACAGGTTTCAGAAAGAAAAGGCAATTTCAAAGTTATTACACGTTTTCCCCACAGTAGACTGATGCTCCCCAGAAGGCCTGATTCTGCCTCTATACCATGACAGTCTGTTTTAAATCCCATGATGCTAATTCCTTAAGCCAGCCAAAAAGCAGTGAAAGTGTGACCAGAATCAGGCCTGATGTATCTAATTATAACCTGTAAATTAAGCTGTTACTAATCTTGTCTACTTTGCATGATTGATAGAACAGTACAGATGAAGCATCCACTCCTTACTGCAGTTCATGGTTTCTAAGAACCAGGAAATGGCATTTTTAATCCCAGAAATACATACCATTTCTACATCAGAAACAGGTCCAAAACTGGTGACATATATATCTGTTTTGACTTCAGTAACAGGACCTAATGTATGAAAAGGAAGTGAGCAAGAAAATTTGAATTTTGCAGGTCAACAATTCCCATAAATGATCCTGGCGTGTGAACAGTTATCACTTTGAGGGTTCTGTGGATGAGCAAGAGCAAAATGCAAATATAGGTCATTTCAGACAAGTCTCTAATAACAAGCACTGCTCAATTACCTTTACCACATAAGTAAATCAAAAGCAGCATTTCCATGCAAATCCCCATTCAGAAAACCAATGTTGACTCAAAGGATAAGAAAACAGATACCAAAAAATTAAAAGGCTCACTAAAACCACCATGCTAATTAACAACAAGCACTGAATTCAGGAAATCCACATTCCCCGAGGCATTTATTACTAACATTCAGTCCTGCTGATAATAACTGGACTATAGATATTAGCATGCCATGCACTGGGCAGTTTAGTACTGCAAGTATCAAGAACTGCATCCATAGCCTGAGATGCACTTAAGTGCTTTAATACAAACAATCAAACTAAAAGTTGGATATCTAAGCATTTTTGAGGGTCTGAACCTAGGTCCAGATGCTGCTACAAAGCCTGTCTTGAAGGAACTAGTGATACTTGGGACACTGTTCAAAACAGTGCACAGAACAGAGGTCTTACAGCTGGGTACCACTCAGCAACCAACCAGATGCTACTACAAAGCCCATCTTTGAAGGAACTAGTGATACTTGGGACACTGTTCAAAACAGTGCACAGAACAGAGGTCTTACAGCTGGGTACCACTCAGCAATCAACAGAAAAAGCACTTTCATTTTAACATATCATTTCCTTTAGTACAGGACAAAACACCCTGAAGTTTCAGATGGGCATTTACTATGCAGTACGCTCTACAGTTCCCCTTAAACCAAAGAACATATGCACTAAGTAATTTCACTGGGATTTAGGTCTGTTCCCAATGTAAAAGGCTGGGAAGCTGCTAATCATTACCAGTTATTATGATGATTCTGTGATCAAAGAACTAGCTAACGGCTTAATTCAGGTAATTAACTCACATCATAAATTAAAAAAAAAATAAAATCTATTGATGGTCTTATCAAACAAAATCTGTTTGAAAAAAAATATTACAATCTACAAATTCACAACCATAGTTTCTAAACCCCTACAACTCAAATTTCTAAAAGAACATATGCACTAAGTAATTTCACTGGGATTTAGGTCTGTTCCCAATGTAAAAGGCTGGGAAGCTGCTAATCATTACCAGTTATTATGATGATTCTGTGATCAAAGAACTAGCTAACGGCTTAATTCAGGTAATTAACTCACATCATAAATTAAAAAAAAAATAAAAAAATAATGTATTGATGGTCTTACCAAACAGTATCTGTTTGAAAAAAAATATTACGATCTACAAATTCACAACCATTGTTTCTAAACCCCTACAACTCAAATTTCTAAAGAGGATAAGTGGCTCGAGACTGTTCATTCTGGTTTTATCATAGTATTTGCACTCTAAAAATGAAAAGAGGAAAGACTTAAGAATGTGAGCAGCAGAAGAACATGTCCCTCTTGCAAAGAAAAAATAAATTAAAAAAAAAAATATTGCTCACAGATGTCGCTTTGAATCAAATGTTAAAAGGAGAAAAAGAAATAAGCAACTGGAAAACAGGGAACCTATACTTCTTGCACCTAGAACAAGTGACAAACTTTGAACAAAAAGTAAAATAAAACCATGTAAGATTATTTCACTAAACAGTTTGCAAGTTATGTAGAGAAGAACAGCTAAGAATTTTTCAGCTAAATGTCAAAAAAACGACTGTTGAAAGTTAGCAGTTCCACAGAAGGGCATTTTTTGGAGATAAAATCTAAAGAAAATTCACCCTACAACATTTAGTAGCTCAGTAGTCCCTGGAAAGTTGGATAGTTTCGCATGTCTGTCTTGAAAATTTGTTAGGAAGAAACTCCCAAGTTCCAGATAACACACTTTCACACCACACGATTTGTTTTGCAATGGTTTGCTCTCTAAAGATGTCAAATGGAAGCTGCACCCCTTTCTACAAATAACAAAGTGTTCATTAGGTCAGGGAAATACAGGAGTAGTTAGACCATTTTACTGACAACGTAGCCCAATTATATTTCCTGAATATAATTATTTTTGGCAAGCAGAAGAGCCCCAAGAGACTGGAAAAGTCTTACTAAAGCTATCAAGATACTGGAAGTGAAGACATTTATCTGCAGCATTTATTTCACCTGAACTTGCAATGTTTCTGAAATCAAAGTTCTACAGAAATTAAAAAGTCATTTTCCCACATAGCTTTAATAATAAAATGTAGGAATTAGTCCCTGTTACTCAGTAATTAGAGTAAACTCAATATTGCACTCAGTTCCTGAATCCCTTTCAGGACCCGCTTTATTTGTTAGTTCTAAGAAACAAAACAGGAATATTCCTCAAAAAAAAACCCCAAACCTTTAACTTCTTTCCTCTGGCAATATCTTCTTTTCTTTAGTTCTCAGAACACTGTAATTTTATAATCATATCAAATTAGGCAAAGGGACAGATTTTTCCCACAGGCATGAGCTGCTTCTCAGGCATTGATTTCTTTTGTTTTATTAAATGATTACAGCTTCATGGGGCAATAAATGTTCTGAAATTTTTTGCAAGTTTATTTTTTGGAGTTTCTCAGAAAGAAGGGGAGAACTAAGACCAAGAAGCTAATCTCCAGATCAGCAAGCCTACGACTTAACGCTATTAGAAATCCTGTAGCAGCAGCACAGGACTAAAATTATACTTGAGTTCACTCTTCTGTAACTGCTATTCTGCTCTCAAACCTGCATTTATTAGTAGGACCCATGAGAAAGAAGGAAACAGAAACTCTCAGACAATAACGAAGCCACAAAATAAGGCTGAAATTAAAGTTTACTTTCGTTTGCTTGCCCGACACGATGGAAGTACAGTGACAAAACAAATGTTAAAATGACATTTTAGGCCACCAGAAAACAGCAGATGAATGAGGATCTAGAATATTTTAGGCATCGTAATAGTTATCCAGCTAGTACTGACGTGCAAATCCTTGCTTTGCATCCCAAAGCTCAGTCAAAGGTTAAAATGTTTGGTAGGAGTGAAGACAGCAGCAAGGGACAGTGAAGCTGATTATCTCCCTCATGCTTTTTCTCCAGTTGCAGCCCTGTCGTGCCCCACGTCTTCCACCTGCATCACCAGTTCACAACTGCTCCGGCCAAACCTTGGATTTTCTAAGCACATCCCAACACTTAATGCCAACCCAGGAGTATCTATAGAGACACCAAAACCTACCCCTTTTTCTTGCTCTAGAAGAAAACATAACTCCAGTGGGTAACAATAGCGGGGGTACAAATAGTGAGTCACGCTGCTGCTTTTTTTTGGAACTATTATTAATCGTGGGAATTCCTGACAACGAGGAGGTGATCTGTAGTCACCTAACCTACTTTTACTGGTGATTTAAGCAGCCCTCCGAAATGAACATGTTGCACCACTTAATCAACTCAGGCTCTGCAAGCAGAAGATCCTATTAGAATCCTTAACACTCTATTACTGGCAATAAAATGCAGCGAGTTGTAAGAAGGCCAATTAACTTTAAATATGACCATTTGGGCTCATCCCTCAATGGATGTTCAGAAAGCATCTATCCACCATAAATCTTCAGGAATACTGAGGAACTATTTATAACGTACTGGTGTGTATTTTTATGTCAATGAAATAGGAGGAGAGTCCTACACACTGCGGTGGGAACAGTTAAGTCTGAATCACTGCTTGCAAGATAATATACTTTAAAGAAGCTCAGGCAGGATTAAAAGCAACCCCTGCAAAAAGCCAGAATAGTTCAGTGTTAGATAGAGATGCTACACGTGGGCTGGAGAAGCGATGCCAGGCCCTAACCCTGTGAAGAGGAACATAAGACAGCTCTCCCATGCATTTTATGCCAACATATGGGTTGAACTGCAGCACAGCTCCCAGCGAAAGACTTTTGGGCTCCATTATCCCCGCGTCTCCATAGGCAACTGTCACTGCAGAGATCTCCACTGTATGTAAACAGTCAAATCCTGCACAGGCTTTCTGTATATTGCAAATTTTGCCATCAAGAGTCACGCAGCCAATCGGGAACATTAGCAAACAAGCCTGTACAAAGGTTTCAACATATAAAGTACAATTTAAATGCTAAGTGCAGTTATTGCTGCTATTATGAGATCAGTCCCAGGATACATAAACTACATGAAATTATATTACATCAGTTCCTACAGCTACATCTAAAAAAAACCTGGAGTTGCTACAGATTTTTTTTTTTAAATATAACTACATGTGAAAGATTTCGTAATTTCTCTTTCCAAATTCTTGCTGTCTGAATAGACTTTATATCTTTTCAGTGAAGAAAAGAAAAAAAAAAAAAAAGAAGAAAAAAAGAAAAAAAAGTCATCATATGAAGCAGGTTCTCTTGTTTCATTCTATCAGAAAGAACAACTGAGGACACCTGCTATATGTAAGATTTCTATTAGGAAGCCAAAATAGCTAGGTAGGGCATTTTTAAAAAATTAATGTGGTATTCAAACACGTGGGCTACATTCTCTACCAAAAGACAAATACAATAAATGCAGCAGTACACAATAACCTTTGTTTCTACATATGTTCATCCATCAGCATGTCTGAACCCTGAAAAGGGAAAAACCTCCAAAATGAGGAGGTTGCTGTTTCTTTGCCTGTTTATCAGCAGATAATCTCTGCTAAGACAGCCAACAAGCTTGATACTGGTGCCAGTTTTCATGATGTGGACACCTGTCTACTAAGAACTGGACTAAGAATATCAGCTAATTTTATACAGGTCACTGAACAACAGACAGATGGTAATGACTTCAAGCATTACTAACCTGGCCAAATTCAAATCAGTCAACTACAGGTATCTAACACCATATCCTGTTAAGCCTTTGAGTCATCTACTCTCACCAGCTGAGGAAGACTGGACAACTGCCTGAAAAAAAAATCCATCAGCTTCACTTTACAAT